AGGCTCGGTCAAAGAAGAAGGTCTTGAGATGGGCCTTGAAGGAGGCAGGCAGGGGAGGGGAGTTGAGGGAAGGCAGAGGGGCTCTGGGATGAAGTTCCAAAGGGTGGGGTCAGAAAGGCTAAAGGCTTGACCTCCGAGGGCGCTGTGGACAAGGCGGGGAATGTGGAGCAGGCCAGTGCCCACTGAGTGGAAGGAGCGGACAAGTGGTAGGTGTCCGTGCCTTCGGTCACCCTCCTACCCCAAGCCTCCCTGCCCTCCACCCCTCCTGATCCCAACCACCAGCTCGGGTGCAGATCCCTGACTGTCCAGCGCCTTGGGACATCCTCCTGACGTGAAAGGCGCCGTGTAAATGTAATTTGTTGTTGTTGTTGTGTTCAGGAAGTCACAAGACTGGCAACGTTGGGGCAGAATAAGGTTTCTCACCATCAACAGCAGTAATATGAACGCAGTGTTGTATTTTTGATAACCAGTCACAACGACAAACCATGGTTTGACTTGTGTTGCAACGCAAACACGATGTTCATTAGGAGCCGCGCCAGTTTCTGTTCATCGCGCATGAAAGTTTGGGGATTATCCAAACAGAGTGTTGTGTTTACACTGTCTCCCGGTGCTCACCAGCTCAGCTCAGCTCAGCTCACTGCACGAGGAATATCTACTCGGTTTGGGTTTAGGAAGGGTGCCAGCCAGCGCCCATCGCACAGGCCCCGACCAAGGTTTCCGGAGACAGAGACAAAGCAGTCATTTTGAGATTGACCACTCGCTCACCTCGACCGTTCAAAGGCTTTTGCAGACGGAACCACACTCACGTCGGTTGGTGGCTCAGTCGCTGGCACTCTCGCCTCCGAGGCAGAGGGCTGTGAGTTCAAGCACCTCATCAACACTTGGAACCCATAGAGTCTAGGCCAGAGAGGTCCAACCTTTTAGCTGCTGAGGGCCGGATGCCCTATTTGAGAAACGTCTGCGGGCTGCACAAGCAATATTTTGGTGTTTCCCTTCCAGAAACATAACATTTCTGGGTTATGGAGGGAGTGGGTTGGTCAGATGAAATGGAGAGTGGGGTGGGTGGGGGGTGGCGGTTGAGGCCCTTGGGCTCTTCCTGAATACCCCGGTTTAGGCTGACCCTTCAGTTGGATAAAGCTCTGCATTTTCGGGGGCCCTTTGGATGGAATGTGAGCCTGAGGTCCCACCTGCGCCTATCCTGGTGGATGTTCACAATCCTACTGCACTATTCGAAAAGAGAAGGGAGTTTCACCCGGTGTCTTGGCCAGCAATCCCCCCCTTCCCACCCCAGATAAAATTGATCACTCGCTCCATGGGTGTTGGTAGGATATCACTGTGCGCAAGCTGCTTACTCCGAGACAAGGGTGCTAACAATTGAGCCAGGCTGCCATCCGATGTAACTTAACCGTGAATAATGTGTCTTAATCATCTATATCTTAACCATGTTGCCTAATGCAAGCGGAGCACTTTAGGAAACAAGACTGAACGCATGTCTCTCTCTTTCTCTTTCTCTCTCTCTCTAACCAAAGCTCAGTGGCAACCTGACCTTACTGTGGTGGAGTACTGCCATTTCCGGTAGGGTGCCCTGATTCACTCGGGCGTGCCAAAACCACACACAAGCACCTGTGCGGAGGTCAATTAAAAGTGACTGCGGATTCAGAATCCTCTGGGCTGACCTTCCCTTTAAGAGGTCAGAACGAAGGCAGATCCCTCAAACGTGCAAATTTACACGACTGTCCAGGTCTCTGGCTCCCACTAGTGCAACCAGCAACTTCTTATCACCTCTCCATTATCGCTCCTGATGACAGAAGGTGCAAAAAACGCAAACAAATCCTCATCATAAAACACCACTGAGTGGTGAGTCGAAACTATGTTAGGTTATTGTAATGTAAGGTATCCAGTCGCGGTCTGTAAGTGGAGGCGGGGGGTGGAAATGAACCACTTTCTGCCCAAGATCAACTGGATGCTGGATCGATTGAGATTCTCAAGACTGAGCTGGATAGAGTTTAGTCAGGTCAGGGTATCAAGGGATACAGAGCAAAGGAGGGTAATTGGAGTTGAGGTACAGATCCGCCATGATCTAATAGAATGGCGGAACAGACTCGAGGGGCTGAATGGCCTCCTGCTCGCACGCCGACAGGCAGGTGCACACAAACAGACAGGCACTAAAAAAACAGCCCTGAATGCCAATCTTCTCACTAGTTGGTGCGATCTTTCACCGACTGTATAAACGGTTCAGTGTGGTATTCTGACTGTACTACAGCAACAGATTTATTGATACAGGGTCTTTCACATCGGGAGGACGTCACAAGGCACTGGGCTGTGTTGGGTCGGTACCTGAATTGGGGGTGAGAACCAAGGGAGGGGTGGGTGGGAGAATGATGACCGATAGCATGATCAAAGGAAAAAAGGTCTTGAGGCTGGCCTTGAAGGAGACGAGGGGACTGTACACTGGAATGTACTTCAATACACAACATGGATTAACGAAATGGCAATTCCATTCAGATTACAATATGATGAAAGATATTAGTGATGCGGGGGGCCGGGGGTGAGGGGGAGGGGGGCTGGAGAGAGGGGCGATGGAGTCCTAGACTCCACAACAGCAGCCTCTGGCTCCTGGGTTTCACAACAAACAGGTTTGTTCACGAGAATAGTATTTTACAGTCAGCTCAAATGAGGCCCTGAGATTAACAGGAGATTACATTGTCATTTTCTTTTAAAGATACATCTAAAGAGATTTGCTCGCTCCTTCTCGGCTGCTCTTCCTGCCCATCTCTTTTGTTGATGCTTTAAAATAACTTGCATTTGATTCAAGGTTCAGCATAAAACCAGATGTCTCCTGTCAAGTTCACCCGCAAAACACACAGTCACTACACATGATCCCATGAAGCCCTTTGTCATATCAAATACAGGGATTATTATATGTGTGTGCGCGCCTGAGTGTGTGTATAAGGATGTGTATGTGCGTATACACGGGTGTACTTGTATGTGTGCGTGTTTGTTTGTGTATAACCTTGGATGTGAACATATGCGTGCCAAACATATGTGTGTCTGTGTGATTATATGTGTATGTATATGTGTTCAAACACTCTGGGACACTACCCTGCGTGAGGGGCAACATATAAATGCAAGAAGTTGTGTGCGTGCATATATGTGTGTGAATACACGTGTGGATATGATTTGCTTGTCAGTTTATGGAGTACATTTGAATTAGGGTCTGCACTTTAAATTGGATCCGAATTTTATCGTGCTCTGGGCAACAAGGCAATCACCACGCTTTTAATTTAAGCCCATTTTCCCCTCCCAACGCGTGTCCTGCACGCAAATTCCTCCCGCAAGCTCTGCATTTGGCGGTTTTATTATCGCCTTGGTTAAAGAAACAAATGCCGTTAAATGAGCTCTACATTTGCGCTTCGTGTAGGCTGGGCAGAGCACCTTTAAATGGAGACTTTAATGTTTTTTGACAGCCATGTCAAAATTGATTTTTGTCCTGTTGGTAAAGTGGCCAGCAGGTTTTAAGAAGCGAATATTCAACTGGCCTGATATTCCTCAAAGCCGCACTCCGTCCATTAAACCGCGGATGCATTGCTTGAAAGACTTAATGAAGCCAGCAGCGCATTTAATTCTCAAACTTAGTAAGTGTTCACCGTCTGATGTAGGTATCCGGGACTGTGAAAATTCCACCCAGTCTTAGCTTGTCTCAAAGTTATAGGATCAGGCAGAAATGTGGCCCAATTCTTGTAATAATAATAATCCTCGCATTTGATATAACGCCCCATTACGTCGTTGAGACATCTCAAAGCGCTTCACAGAATATACTGTAAAATGTACTATTTTGTGGGCGAAACTAAATAATTATATTAAGCCTTGCATTTGCTACAGCGCCTTTAAGTCGGGAGGGCGTCTCAAAGCAGTTCACAGGGTTTAGTGCAGTGTAAAGTGCAGTGACAGACAGTGCAGTGCGTATTTGTTGACAGACACGGTAGTCCAATTGCTCACAGCAACGTCCCACAAACAGCCATGAAATGAACGAGCAATTTAGTTTGGGGGGGGTGGGTGGGGGAGGAGAAATAGTCGGCCAGGACACCGGGAAAGAGAATCTTTATCCTTATTTCGAGTTAGTCCCGCAGGATCTTAAACGTCACCTGAACAGGCAGACGGGACCTTGGTTCAATGTCTCACACCCTTCCATCGAATATCGTTTCGCCCTCAAAGTAGTACATTATACAGCGCTTTGAGACGTCTCGAAGACGCGATAAGGTGCTGTATCAAATGCAAGGATTATTATTATTATTGTTCTGAGAACCACGGAAAATTGGCTTTACAAAATTAAGACTCGATTTGAGAATTTTCCACTGCTCTGTGTGATCTTACATTTTGTTTCAGACTTGCCAAACTGCGCCTAATACTTTCCAGAATTAGGTAAGCAGGATGCATCCCTCCAGAGAGAGAGAGAGAGAGAGAGAGAGTGCGCATTTCGTTCCAACAATCTATCTCTGGAATTTCCATGTGTAGGTGGGATGCAGAAAAGCTGTTTCCTCTGGTGGGAGAATCCAAAACAAGGGGGCATAGTCTTAAAATTAGAACCAGTCCATTTAAGAGTGAAATCAGGAAGCATTTTTTCACTCAAAGGGTGGTAGAAATCGGGAATTCTCTCCCCACAAAGGCCGTGGATGCTGCATCCGTCCACACCTTCAAGAGTGAGGTTGATGGATTTTTGGTAGGTCAGGGAAGTAAGGGATATGGGGAGACAGCGGGAATTGAAAGGGTTAATTGAGATACGGATCAGCCATGATCTAAATAAATGGCGGAACAGGCTCAAAGGGCTGAATGGCCTGCTCCTGTTCTTATGTTCCTGTGAATTCTCAGCTTGGTTTAGATACTCTCAAGCACCGTGATGGGTTTCCGCATGTGTCGAAGACACCCGGCTGACCAAAAAAGAAACCATTTTCAGGCAAAAAAAGTCTTACAGGCTAAGACACAAAAAGGTTCTGCCTTACCTTGCCTAATACAGTGAGACACGGCTTGGGATCCAACTCTGGTTGCTCAAGCTTAACAACTCCCACCCATCCGTACTCGTACAAGTCCTCCTCATCATTATTGTTGCATAATCCCAGTGGGTGCATCTGCAAAAGGGAACAAAAGCAACAACGAGTTAGCAGCAGTAGTCAGGAACTCGCATTAATAATAATAATCTTTGCATTTGATACAACGCCTCATCATGTCTTCGAGACGTCTCAAAATGCTTCACAGAATACACTGTAAAGTGAAATGACTACATTTTGTGGGCGTTTGAAACATAGCATCCAACAACAACAATGACAACTTGAATTCATATTGCGCCCTCCACACAGGACAGCGTCTCAATCCAATTATGAGACAACCCACATTAATAATAATAATAATAATAACCCTGGCATCCTCATCTGGCAAGGATGCACCTCAGACAATACAGTGCTTCCCAAACTCCCAGTGTCCTTGCCAACAATCCACCCACATTGGATACAGATACACAGTCACAACACAACATGGTAAATCCCGTGAAGCGCTTTGAGACATCCAGTCATAAGGCGCATTATCAAATAATAATAATAATCATAATAACAATCCTTTGATATTGCATTTGATACTGCGCCTGACGTCGGGGGCTGAGTTGGGGGAGGGGGGGTGAGGGGAGAGAGGCCACTGTAATTTTGTTTATCTTTGTGGTTGAAGCTACATGGAGTTTGTTGACAGTGGGGCCATGCAGTGCACAACATGAAAGGATGACTGATTTTCTGATAGTTATTAAATATGGCTTATGAAGTCAAACAAAGGGGATACTGTCTATTTCACCACAGTATGTACAATGCTGCAGCCACCTCTAATAGCATTTGGCTCTCGTCACAAAGCAGGGCTTGTAAGCTCTCGTTGAATTACAGCATTGGCGAAGGGGCTGACTTATTAAACCTGCCCTAATGGCTTCCCTCAACAGAACTTCAGACAGTAATTTGGTTTAGCTTGAGTCACGTTCGATCCTAAGTGCTCGGGAAGCATTGCTGAAACGTACCCTGGGCTTTTTGAGGCTGAGGTTATCTGCAGAGGAGCTTTCCACGCGCTGGCCAATGGGAATGGGCAGGAAATAGTTCCTCCGCAGAGGGAGGAGGTGACCGTAAGCACGGCCGAAGAGGAAAGACTTCAGTCCCGATCTGAAAGAGGGTAAAGAGACGGCAAGGCGAAGGGATTGGGGGAAAGAGTTCCAAAGCTTGGGGGAGGGGGCGGCTGAAAGTGCGGCCCGTGATGGTGGGAGTGGGGGTGTATGGGTGGGGGGGGTGGGGGGCGCGAGGGATGGGCGCGACCTGACCTGAAGACAGGGAATGAGGGGGTTAAGGCGGAGGGATAGAGGAAGAGCGTTCCAGAGTCCGGTCGACAGGAGTGGAGCGTTCAGAGAGAGGGACGCTTGCTTTGTGACGGGAGCTCGCAGTCTATCTGGGCTGGAGCTGCAGCTTATACAAAGCCGCGGTTTATTCTGCCGCCACTTAACGAGCGGTTACTGTACTCAAAAGGTTCATTGGGACAAACTGATCCAATTAGGATCGGATTTCAAAACAAACAGGATCCGACCAGATACAGATTCGCTTCGTTTTGATGTGCGAAGCTTAAATAGATGTGACCCAAAAGTTCAATGGCGACCTGTTGCAAGAGGTTGGGTTCCCCCCTTCGCCCAAAACCCCCCCACCTCCCCAATCTCCACCCTTCCCCACCCCCCCAAAAATCTCCACCCCCACCCCATGTATTAAGGGCTTGATGTGGTTCACATCATCGCTGTCAGACGCAGTGGGAGAATGAGTCGGGGACCGACTGCTGAGATGATGGAATTTGCCTTCAGTGAAACGGAATGTGATATCAAACGTCAGGATTATTATTATTATTATTATTTGCGAGAATTTTTACCTGCACCTCTCGCCAACGTGCAATGCACACGCACGCACAAGCGCACACTAACTGTGCGCTCACTATGCAGGCACGTGTGTGAGGTGCACACATTATAACTAGTACACACACACACAACACATACAAGGACATACACAGTGCTTTACACAGTGGGTGATTAATCACCACAATGGGTTACTAGGAAGAGTGGTGAGGCCAGAACACTGGGCACCTTCAAAGAAACACAGCTCAATGCTGGAATGAGAGGGAGAGAGAGGGAGGGTGATCTGGAAGGATGAGATCAAATGGGCCAAAGGGTCTTCTTCACCCGAACTAATCTTGTGATGTTTATAACCCCATTTTTATCCTCTAGATCTCTCTCCCTCAATCCCTCAGCCTTGCCCCCTTCCCTCCCCACTTTCAAATCCTGCCTAAAGACGTTCCTTTTGATCGTGCGTATGGTCAGCTCCCACCTCCCCCTCTCCCCCTAGCTCGGGGTCAGACTGTCGAGCACTCCGCGACGCTGTGCCCCTCGTGAAGGGCGCAAAATAAATGCAAGCTGTTGTTGTTCTCTGCTATCACGACTGTGATTTGACTAGGTGTTTCGTTGGAGAAAGCGCTCTGGGACGCTACCCTGAATGAGGGGGCACTATGTCAATGCAAGTTGTTGTGGTTGTTGTTGAAATCGAATACATTGGAGGTCGGTCTAAAAAACTTAAAAGCGTTTCTTCCCCCTGCACCCCGCCCCCCCCCTCCCCAACCCAACTCTCCCCTCAACCCCCCCCAACAATATATGTAACCAAATGCAAAGATATCAAACCCAAAGAATTGCAAAAACAACAAATCCCGTTTGCATAGCAACTTTCACTTTGGGAGGACATCCCAAGGCGCTTATTACGAGATCCGTAAGATGTATAAGGTGTACAAAGGGCTATAAGACTATAAGACTGCGACTGGGTTTATTTTAGTCCACTGGCGCCAAAGTTCTACTCAAACAAAATCACTCAACTCAAAACGTTTACTGTGCGATGTACATAACTCAGCACCTGAAATTGCTGCCACTATCCACCTCATTGTGATTTAAACCTTCAGACAGAAGATGCCTTTTCACACTGTTGATGGATGTACTGTGGCTTGACAATCTCGACGCCCACCATTCTGCTTCACTGAAACCCAACTGACGGCGTGTGGGTTTAAAAAATATTGCGGATTTCAAGGTCTTCTGATGGGAAAATGTCAGGTGTCAGCCTGGCTCAGTTGGTAGCCTCTGAAAGTCTGTTCAGATAAGATCGCTCATTCACTCCATGGCTGTTTGTGGGACACTGATGTGTGCAAATTGGTTGCCACATACGCCCACAAAATACACGGTCAATAAACTTTACAGTAAGAATCCCGTGGAGCGCTTTGGGGAGCTCTCCCAACGTGAAAGGCACCGCCTCAAATGTAAGGAATCAAGTTCCTCGGACGTACAGTGTTTAGGGTACAGGAGGAGGCCAGGACACATGGCGGTGATTATGATAATCATAATGATGATAATCCTTGGATTTGGTAGAGCAGCTTTGATTTCAGAAGGACATCCCAAAGCGCTTCACAGGATATAGTGTGAAGTGGAGTGACTGCTCCATTTGTAGACAAATGCGCTGGCCAATTTGTGCACAGCAGCATCCCCACAAACAGTAGTGGATTGAGTGACCGCATTTTTTTTTCCGCAGGGATTATTACTCCCGGAAAGCGATCTGCCAATCGACTAACAACCTGGTTCCTACTTACTGCTGGGTAAGCAGAAGCGTGTGGAGTAAGGAAACTTGCTCCTGAGGTTTCGGCCTGCCCGGGAATCGAACCCGGGTCCCTCTCGCTTGCGAGGCGAGCGGGCTAACCACTACGCTTCGGGTCTCCACGAATTCGGGTCAGGCTGCACAAGCAGCGAAGCGAGGCTGAGGCCTGATCACAACATCGGTTCTTAAAACGGATTCTGCCGCCAACTTCACTGCCTCGGGAGTGTTTTGGCTTCCTTCACGTCCGTCTGTTACAATTGGCTGCACTCACAGCACTTCACAGAGGCATTTGCGTGATGAACTGTCTCGGAAACAATCAAGACAATTCCTTTGAAGCTTCCCTGCTCCAATCCTCCGCCTTCGCCCCCCCCCCCCCCCCCCACCCACCCCCCATCAGCCCCAAACCCCCCACCCCCACCCCAGCTCAGTTGCTAAAGCCACTGCCTGGAGTGAAACTGATTCATACAGACCCAGATGGTCTTGAGTTGACCTCAGCCCACTATTCCCTCTACCCCAACCCACCCCACCAACCCCGCTCTCTCTCTCTCTCTCTCTCTCTCCCTGTCCTCTATTCAATGAACTTTTCTGGAAAGGGAATGAATGTGAACAGTGGATGAGAGACAACAGGATCAGGGTTATTGACGGCCCAACCAGCAAGGCTCTTAGGGAGGACTTAGAACGGCAGACCAGTCACTGGGACCAGGGATTCATTCTTCCCCCTCGGCTCCTGTTAACCCTGCAAGCCAAAGCCATTTAATGTGTAGCGTGGTCCTTACTGGACAAGCCACGGGAAAGCTTACCACATGGTGCTTTCAATTTGTAATCTAATAATGATAATAATCCTTGCTTTTGATACAGCGCCTTATCACATCGGTGAGACGTCTCAAAGCGCTTTGCTCAAAGAATATACTGTAAAGTGAAGTGACTGTGTATTTGTGGGTGAAACGTGGCTGTCAATGGCGCACAGCAGCGTCCCACAAACAGTCCTGGATTGAATGACCAAATTATTATTATTATTTGTGTATTGGGTGGGGGGAGAAGAGGGGGTTATTAACCGGCTGGCTGTCTCCAAAGCTTTGCTTAGTCCACCCCTTCGTCCCGAACAATTCCTTACGACTCAACTTCGTTCCGACCTGCACGGCGCTCGTTTCAAAAAATATAATGAGTCGTAACCCCCAGCCCCCCCCACCCCACTCTTCCTTCACCCTCACCCACCCCTCAAAAAAAATCTCTGTTCAACCAAAGAGAAAGGCAGGATAAAACATAGGTAACTTTGTCGTTTTATGGGCGAAATCGTCTTAAACGCTCAGCTATTTAAAAGGCCAGCTTAACGGCTGAGCTGCCCTCCCTCTCGTTCCTTCTCTCTCTCTCTCTCTCTCTCTCTCTGTTCACAATCTGCCGATCTGCTTTTAAGGACACAAAAGTTACTGCGTTGGGGC